AAAATTTCACCAAAATTTTGTGGTATACCACCTTAAGGCTGCATTTTTCACAGCTGTTCCTGGTTATACACTGTAAATTACAAGGAGTTGAATCAAGTCCATAAGAGTTATTCTGTCACGAAAAACGGTGACAGAATGACACTTTTGGAGTTGATTCAACTCCTTAAAATTTACAGTGTAGGTCTAATAAAAAATACATACAAAATAGTGATTATAAAGTAGATCTCCGCTGAAAGTTACTTAATTACCCTCTTTGACTTTGACTGTCTCAAGTTATTAAATGCTTACCGCAAAACGAAGTTACTCTGCCCGAAAACAGAATCAAGCATATTACAATCACGCCAGAAAATAATTGTGCAATCATGGTGTTGTTTATCAGCAAGCTTGAGAATTCGCGTTCACCATTACTGCTGTCACTTTGCAATATGATCCGCCTGCCGTGGTCTGCGCAATTATCTTTAAATTGGTAAATATTCTCTGCCTGGGCAAATCCTAGATTTTGGTAAGGATTAATCCAGATGTCCTTGTAGTGTTGATATTTCAGTTTTGAAGCCCAGTGAAGGTCACAGTTAGAACGTAACGAAACTCGATACCATCTATAATGTAGTAAAATAGCTATGTTTCGTACCAAGTCTCTGTTCAAGGTTTTATTCAAATCATCACTCAAGCAAGGCTCAGTAAAGCCCGGTTTCTATATGGTCGCAACGGTCGTAAAGATAGAGTCACGAGATTTTCACGTCTTCATACAATTAATGGCTGCATTTCAAGCCGCAACAAGTGCAACTTCAAACTGGGTTCAGCAGAACTCTTCCCAACCATAAAACCCATGCTTTCAACAGTTCACCTTCTAAGACTGTATTCAATTCATACGATTGATAATATACGACGAATTATCTTTACTACCATTTATTTGAAGGAGTTTGTTTTGGCCGTCGTCGTCGCGTTGTCGTCCTATAATCGTAAGATCTCTATTATCAGTGTGAAACTGTCGTATTCCAGCTGTTGAGAAAGATCGTGACTCAATGTTTACGACTGTTATACGACCATGGAAACCAGGTTTTAGGGAGCTCCCTCGTCCACATAGGCCTTTTGGTATTTATAAATACAGGAAAGGGGGAGCCGGCTGGGGGAGGGGGCTGCCTCAACCCCAATCATGTTAAGTCTGACTGATTACGCTTTAAAATCATGTAATTCTACTTAAAAATCGGGTAAATGATGAAAGGAAAGCGCGACGTGTATTGCAATAGAGGAAAAAGCACGAAATCTGCGAGTTGACAAAAGTTCTTGAACGATCTCACGATTATGACGGAAAAACACAATTTTTTATTTTTTTTTGAGGGGGGTGAAGAACAAAATAAATTGAATATGTGAATGATCAACCCATTTATGGACTGACCAGCCCGCCCAAATGCTAGTCAGCTACTCATTAGTTTATACCATTATATCACCTTACATGCATGGTTACATTGCGTCAGGTTGCATTTCATCATCGAATTACAATGCCTACGTTACACTTTCCCCGTTCACACGATACAGGTGTCCCAGGATTTTCGCCCCCCCCCTACATTTTCGCCCCCCGGAGGGGGGGGGCGATATTCCTAGGAATTTCGCCCCCCTTTAGGAATTTCGCCCCCCTTTAGAAACTTCACCTTTTCTTTAGGATTTTCATCCTCCTCCGTTCAAAGTTTCGCCCTTCCTAACAGTTGCATGGGATAACTATTACATGGCTTTAATCATTTGAAATCAGTATCAATTCAAAATTGTTAAGATAGAGTTTGAAATAACAACCGATCAATGATTGGCAAGGAATTGCTTATGATCGGTGGAAAAGCAGGGTTTCGGTTTCCAACCTGAAAAAAGCAGGGAAAGTCGACAGTCGTGACTGCCGATCACCATGATCGGGAACTTTGGGAACGTTATTTCAAGCCCTGCATGTAAGAATACAAATTTACAATTGCATGTATCGAAAGGGCTTACACAGTTACAGTAGATCAATAGGACTTGTGACGCTTCACATCACACCATGCATATTTTGCATTTCAGTGTTAATCCTTAAACTCATTGTTAAAAAGTAATCACCGTGGTGGTTATTGTAATTATAATTTATTGGTATTGTTTTGCATACACGTTTTGCCGTCGTCATTGGAAAATGTGTGGCTTATAAGTTGTCACTATGTCTAGCTATGTTTTACTTGCATTATTTCAATATAGTTTGTAAATCTCAGAAGCGAAGGGTAGAACTTGCCAATAGGCAATACTCCAATAATATACGTTTCAAAAAAAGACAAAAAAGCTTTTAGTTTTCCCGAGTTACATTCTCAAATGTTTATAAGGCACTAATAAAATCAAAGTATCATGAAATTATTTGAATAAATCACACCACATACATAAGGCAATTTTCTTTGGGGAAGTCAAGAATCAAGATTACATCACTAACACTGACATGGAAAGTTGATAATTCAACAGACAATAGTCAATACGCTTCCCAACACATTCCATAGATTTTTCATTAATCCTATACAGTATAGTTTATTGTTAGCGAGTGATTACTGTGGCGGCTATTATTAACACTGGTATTGATAAAATTTGCAAGCGAAATTAAAAAAATTCAGAAATTCAAAATTTATATGGGGGGGGGGAGCGAAATTCCTAAAGGGGGGCGATATTCCTAGGAGATTCGCCCCCCTGGGGGGCGATATGCCTAGGAGATTCGCCCCGGGAGGGCGAATATCCTAGGAATATCGCCCCCCTTTTGAGAGGGGGGGCGAATCTCCTGGGGGG